ACACACACGCAGCACACACACACACACACACACAACACACACACACAACACACACACACACACACACACACACACATTATATATACTATATATATATATATATATATATATATATATATATATATATATATATATATATATATATATATATATATATAATCATATCACCACACACACACACACACACACACACACACACACACACAACACACACACACACACACACACACGCACACACACACACACACACACACACACATACACACACAGACACACACACACACACACACATAAATACACAGGTATGGATATAAAACTTGAAAGGAACAGCAGAACACAACAAAAATAAAGGAGAAAGATTGTAATCGAACACAACTCACAAACACGTTTCCCTTACCTCGTACTTGTCAATTGTTACTTTGCACTCTGCCAAGTTTTCTTCAAGATTCTTAATTCTATTTTCGAGATTTCTTATCTGTTCTTTGTGTGTTTGTTCCTTCTGCAGATATTCGTTTTCTTTCGCTTGTTGTTCTTCCTGAAACGGGGTCAAGATTTTTGAGCGAACGATATATTGTTTGTCACTATTACCGCACTTTTTAGTTCTTCTGATATTGTTAAAACTTTTACTACTACTGCTCTTAGTACTCCTGTAACTACTGTCTATACTACTTGCATTTTTACCACTTCTACTACTACTTCCTCTTACTACTACTACTACTACTCCTCTTACTACTACTACTACTACTCCTCCTCTTACTACTACTACTACTACTAACTACTACTTTACTACCACTACTTCTATTTTATTACCACTTTTCCAACTATTTCTACTACTACTACTGCTACTACCTGTTGATATTTCTCTCATCCTCATGATACAACTTCACCACAGCTAACCACCATTACCAACAACACACAACAAACCTCCAACGTCTTAATTCTTTTGACCAACTGAGCGTTCTTTCGCTGTAGAGTGGACATTGTCGACACGTTATCTTTCAGCTGGTTCTCCATCGCTTTCAGTTCGGTGACCTTCTCTCGGAGTTCCTTCTAGAGTAAGGTTATAATCGTGATGATTGTAATGAGGAAGAAAGGGTCGTTGTTTGAAGTACTGGTGATCATGAGCATATAAAGTTGCTTTGAGGTGTTCGCAGTAATATCAGTACTGTTGCAACTATGAGTTTAAAATGATGATATGGAACATTACTACTAATAAATACAACTCTCTCTCTCTCTCTCTCTCTCTCTCTCTCTCTCTCTCTCTCTCTCTCTCTCTCTCTCTCTCTCTCTCTCTCTTCCCTTCTCTCTCTCTCTCCCTCTCCTCTCTCTATTTATCTATCTCTATCTCTCTCACGCACACACACACACACACACACACACACACACACACACACACACACACACACACAACACACACACACACACACAACACACATACACATAACATATATATATATATTAATATTATATATATATATATTATATTGTGACAAATAAGTAAATTACTTAAGGCTGGGCAGAAGGATTCCCGTTTTCCTTGACAGGTAATGGCTCATTCTGTTTTTCTAATTTATGTAAAAGAAATATTACGTTTACGGCGTCCATGTTGTCATTGTGTTTCTGCTTCATTTAAGAAATCAAATAATGTTATTTGGTGAAAATCATCATGAGACTTGAAATATCATTATATTTTCTGAATATCATTATACTATTTTACAGAACTGGCTCCGTGACGAGAAGACAGCTGGAAATCTTAATTACACGTTTTTTTCTTCTGTTGCGGAGTACAATGAATGGATAAATTGGAAGAATAGTGCAGTTCATAACAATATATACATAAATGCACACATACACACATACACACGCACGCACACACACACACACGCATAAATAAATAAATAAATGAATATATATGTATGTGTACACATACACACACACACATACCTGGAAGCTTATCGCCTTCTCATTTTCCTTGAGTTTTAGCAAGAGTTCTTCGACCTCTTCCTCCAACTTCGAAATCTTTACATTTTTAATGTTCTCTTCTTTCTTGTAATTATTTCCCCTCTCTTGAAGGGTGACCTGTTCCACGGAAAGGTCAACGGATTGATTAGTAAGTCAAATGTGTTAATGATGAAGATCATAAGTGATCATAAGAATCATTTTTGTTTTGTAATGCATGGACAGCAATAGTAATAAATTAGTAAAATAATGAAATACAACATGATATAATGCATTATAATATAATACAGTATAATAATATAATGCAGTATAATAATATAATGCAGTATGATAATATAATATGATACTATAATATAATATGATACTATAATATAATATAATACTATAATATGATATGATATTATATATTACAATAGTAATGTAATATGATAGCACATATAACTGCTGTCGATCAATATCATAGGTATGATAAATACAGCACCAAGAAGAGCAATTAATTCACCGTTATTTCTTTTAACTTGATAACTGTGTTTCACAAATTTTGGAACTTAAAAATTTACATTCGTTTGCTCAAATAATTTTACGATCCCATAGCAACCCTCATACTTACAAAAAAAAATAAAAATAAAAGAAAATAGAATAAAATAATAATCCCCACGGACTGTCAATTAAATATGGAGATATAAAAGACAAAAAGTTTTCCTCGATTCCTAATTATCATGTAGTTTATTTTTATTTTTTTTTTATTTTTTTATTTTTTTTACTTAAGTTTTCAGCGAAATGGAATCATGAGTAAAATATCTTCTTTTAAATGGAATTCCTGTTTTATTAATTTATTTATTTTTTCATTAGTCTTAATGTTACTACGAATGGTTTTTTATATTTTTTTCAGTTCGCTTGAAAAAAAAAAAACCCTTTAGCTCTACCCTACATTAAGGGTCATTACGTTGAATCATTATTTTTTTTCTAAAGGTGACACGGCATGTCAAAAGTTATAATAAATCTGATATTGATAAATAACATTATAATGTGATGATGGTAAAGGGAATATTAAACAGTAATAAAGGATGATACAAGCAATAATAATAACAATGATAGAATAATCAAATTGATGTTAATGATAATAGCTATAACAGTGATAGGCGTCGTCATAGCGCAGTAGTGCTAACTATAATGATAAACAGGAGAGAGAGAAAGAGAGACGAGAGAGAGAGAGAGAGAGAGAGAGAGAGAGAGAGAGAGAGAGAGAGAGAGAGAGAGAGAGAGAGATGGAGCAGGAGGAGAGCAAGAGAGGAGAGCGAGAGAGAGAGAGAGAGAGAAGAAGAGGAGAGAGGAGGAAGAGAGGAGAAGAGAGAGAGAAGAGAGAGAGAGAGACGAGAGAGAGGAGAAGAAGAGAGAGAGAGAGATGAGAGAGAGGAGCGAGAGAGAGAGAGAGAGAGAGAGAGAGAGAGAGAGAGGAGAGAGAGAGAGAGAGAGAGAGAGAAGAGAGAGAGAGAGAGAGAGAGAGAGAGAGAGAGAGAGAAGAGAGAGAGAGAGAGAGAGAGAGACGAGGAGAGAGAAGAGAAGAGAAAGAAAAAGAAAGAAGAGAGAGAGAGAGAGAGAGAGAGAGAGAGAGAGAGAGAGAGAGAGAGAGAGAGGAGAGAGAGAGAGAAGAGAAGAGAAAAAAGAAGAAAGAAAGAAAGAGAGAAAAAGAAAGAAAGAAAGAAAGAAAGAAAAGAAAGAGAGAGAGAAAGAGAGAAGAGATGAGAGAGTGTATGTAATCGTTAATCTTGGTACCATATTGACAATGATAATAACAATAAAATGATTATAATGCTAGATAATGATAATAGCAGTATTGATCATATTCATAATAGCATATATAATCAAAACAATGGTGATTATAAGAGCACTAATGCTATCAAAATTCCCATGAGAATTTAACAACCATATTTAACAAACCTTTGCTTCTTCCAATTCCTTCTGGCACCGGGAAAGACTCTCATTAAGATGCTGAACTTCGTCTCGCATTTGTGAGATCGTCGCAGCATCTTCTTTCTGAAGGAGGAAGGAAAAATCTGTTTCTTACTTTCTCCTCTTCCTTTCTTTCGTCAATGCAGAGCGAGGAAATATTAAAAAGACGTTAAATAGCGATACTGCAGTGAATACGGAGAGATGAAAATAGTTTATGTGGGAGTAAAACAGAGAGAAGAAGAGAAAGAGAGAGAACGAGAGAGATATAGAAAGAGGAAAAAAAAGAGAGAGAATGAGATGGAGAGAGAAGAGAAGAGAGAGAGAGAGGAGAGAGAGAGAGAGAGAGAGAGAGAGAGAGAGAGAGAGAGAGAGAGAGAGAGAGAGAGAGAGAGAGATTTAAAATATAAAACACTTTATTCACTTAATTGCAGTAGGTATTACCTTTTACATGAGATTCATCCACGAAAAGGCACATAAGTCGAAAGAAATATATTGTCATGCAATACCATATCTATATTTTGCATGATATTAATCTAGTTCAATATCAAGAAACTGGAATATTATTTTTTCCGTGGAATGACAAGACAGAATTGGCCTGGACTCCGTGGCGAGAAGACAGCTGGAAAACCTTATTATTTTCACGTTTATTTCTTCTGTTGCTCCTCGCAAACATTGTGTTTTTTGTTATTTTATGTTTATTCTTTTTTGTTTGTCAATACAATTCATCTAATGTGTTTTGTATGTAATAAATGATAATTAATGAGCACTTTTTAGCATCTCAGATTATCCATATCTAGCAGCATATTAATTAATCTAAATCAAGAGCATGTTCAGTCTGCTGATTAACTAGTCAATTAAGCCAATGAAATAAATATTGATAAATAAACACGGAGTACAAAGAATGGATAAATTGGAAGAATAAAAGACTTCAAATACCGTCAGGTGTAGTTCGGTGAATTTCCCACGAAAGGAAAATAATGAACTCCGTTTTCGTTTGGTATTGGTAAAAATATACGACATAACAATATATACATAAACACACACACATGTATATAAATAAACAAACAAATACGCACACACACACACATTACACACCACATGTATATAATAAACACACAAACACACACACAACATGTATATATATAAACAAACACACACACACACACATGTATATAAATAAACACACACACACATACACACACTGTATATAAAATATAAAACAAACACACACACACGCACACATGCATATAAATAAACAAACAATACACACACACACACACATACACACATGTATATAAATAAACAAACAAATACACACACACAACACACACATGTATATAAACACAAACACAACACACACATGTATACAACACACACACACACACACATGTATATAAATAAACAAACATACACACACACATACACACATGTATACAAACACACACACACACGCACACATGCATATAAATAAAACAAACAAATACACACACACACACACACACAAACAAATACACACACACATACACACATACTGTATATAAATAAACAAACAAATACACACACACACATACACACACACATGTATATATATAAAAACAAACACATACACACACACAGCATGTATATAAATAAACAAACAAACACACACACATACACACATACATGTATATAAATAAACAAACAAATACACACACACACATACACACAACACATGTATACACAACACATACACACACACAGACATGTATATAAATAAAACAAACAAACACACACAGCACCACATGCATATAACATAACAAACAAATACACACACACACATACACACACACATGTATATAAATAAAACAAACAATACACACACACACAACATACACACACACATGATATATATAAAACAAACACATACACACACACAGACATGTATATAAATAAACAAACAAACACACACGCACACATGCATATAAATAAACAAACAAATACACAACACATACACACACACATGTATATAAATAAACAAACAATACACACACACATACAACACATACATGTATATAAATAAACAAACAAATACACACACACACACATACACACACACATGTATATAAATAAAAACAAACACACACACACACCTGTATATAAATAAACAAACAAACATGTATATGAATAAATAAATAAATACACACACACACACACACATACCTGGAAGCTTATCGCCTTCTCATTTTCCTTGAGTTTTAGCAAGAGTTCCTCGACCTCTTCCTCCAACTTCGAAATCATTACATTCTTAATCTTCTCTTCTTTCTTGTAATTACTTTCCCTCTCTTGAAGGGTGACCTGTTCACGGAAAGGTCAACGGATTGATTAGTAAGTCAAATGTGTTAATGATGATGAAGATGGTGGCTGTTTTTCCACAGATTTTTGGAACTTAAAAATTTACATTCGATTTGCTCAATCATTTTACGTTCCACCCCCCCCCCCCTCTATCAACCCCTCAAACATTAAAAATGAAAAATAAAAAATCCCCACCGGACTATCACTTGAATTTGGAGATATAAAAGACAACGGTTCCTCGATTCCTAATTAGGTAGTTTAATGACTTTTATTTATTTATTTATTTATTATTATTATTATTATTGTTAAAATTAGAACTCGAAGGATGGCAAGGCACTCTTGTATGTTTTCAGCGAAATGGAATCATGAATAAAATATCTTCACTTTCAAATGGAATTCCCTGTTGTTTCCCTTAGTTTTAAAGTTACTACGATGGTTTTATATTTCTTTCAAGTTGAAAAGAAAAATACTTGAGTCATACCCTACATTATGGGTCATTACGCTTCAATCATTATTTTTTCTTAACGGTGACACGGCATGTCAGAATTAATAAATAAATCTGATAATGATAGTAGCATTATCATTATCAGTGTTAATGGTGGCAATAGTAATACGAATGGTAATAAGGATGAGAAAAGTTGTAAGGATAACAGTGATAATAATAATCATATAAACATTAATGATAATGACTATATAGTATACGATATAATATACTATAGACACGTGGCTTGAGGAACTTGGGTGTCCTTGTAAGCTTTCCTCCTGGCACGGTTTCCCTTGTAAGATTCCTCCCTCGAATCGCACCCACGCCACGCCCGGTAACCCTGCTTCCAAATATGACCCAAGGCTGCCTCGGCCATCCAGCGGTCCTATAAGAGGTCAGCAAAGGTGTGACCCAGCCTCACTCAAGTCATTTCGCCTACTTTTGGTAAATGAATGAATGAACAGGTAGATATGGAGTTCATTCATTCATTTAAGTAGGCGAAATGACTTAAGTGAGGCTGGGTCACTCTGGGGGGCGACCTCACGCCCGCCGCCGGCCGTACCGCCTCGTTGGCGTGGAGGCCGGGAACCTGTTTATAACGTGTTCTTTCCATTCGTGTGTTCTTAAATAAAAGTGAACAGCCACATTGGTGATACATTGGTGTAACACTACTGCCCACAGGTATTTAATCACGAAATAAGATGTCAACACCTCTTACAGACTATATCAGTGATAGTCGTTGTCGCAGCAGCAGTGCTAACAATGATGATAAC